TTTTCTGGTATTATTTAAAATTATATGTACAAATATAAATTCATTTTATTTTTTAATTTATCATTTTTTCACTTTACTTCTTAAACTCTTTAACCTATAATTTTTCATTTCGTTTTTTAAATTCTTCAATTTATAATTTTTCTTGCAATTAGTTGTTAAAAATATTGGATCCTTTGTGTACTCCATAGTGTTTCAGTAACTATTGTCACTTCAATATTTTCAGTGCTTTTCAAATCGAAATATGATTTATGCAAACGAAAGTATGGAATACGTGAGGGATAATCGAGATACGAGGATTGCTGTTCCCCTAATGGGAAACTAAATGATACGTTTTCACTTTGTAGCGTAACAAAGTAGAAACATTTAAGGTACACGAATATTTCCAATTTAATAATTACACCTAAATTGTGTTACAAACACGAGCAACACTGTCGCGTAACAAATATGGGTTATTGTCTTTGTATACGGAATTTTTGTCACGCTGTACAGAAGACTATATCATTCGACTGGAAGTAAATGCGATGTTCATGTCTTGAAAGTACTTTCACCTACAAAGAAATCCATATTGCTATGTGGTCTCTTTTGTGCCGCGCAACTTTCATTAAACAAATTTTTGTTTTTTACCTCCGCAGTTTCGAATGTAGTGCACCGGTAATAGTTACTAGGCTGTTTCGCGTACTAGAAATTTGCATATAAAATAATACTAAGATTTCCATTTTTTATTTGTTACGTGAATTATTCGGAAAAAATATTTTTCGAAAATTTTCTATTTCTATTATCTATCGAGCAATATTTTTTATCATTGTTAATAACATTGTCAAGGTGTTGGATATGAAATTTTGGAGTTATTCATGTTATTACATATAAAATATTCCTAAAATTTCCATTTTTTATTTACTACGTGAATTGTCCTAAAAAATTATTTTAGAAAGATTTCTATAAATTTTAAATTATCTATCGAGTAATATTTTTTTTTTAGCATTGTTAATAACATTGCCAAGTTGTTGGATTATGAAATTTTGAAGTTGCACGTTTGCTGCTTTTGTTCTCATAAATTTCAGAACGAAATTTCATAAATTTCAAATTAAACGCCGACTGTTGCTGCAACTGCAGATTGGTTCCGCTTAGCAATGTTTATGTTTCCTCTATAGTCGCGTTCTTTCTTTTATTTTATTGT